TGGTCAAAAAAAAGTATATCTATATAATATTACATTGAATTACACTAGTAGTATTCAACACCACATATAGTTTTGTTGGTAAAATTTAGGATTGGAACCTAAACTATAGTAAAGATATAGGTTTAAATTTTAGTAAGAGTAAGGCTTTTGAGAGTATTAAATATTTTTACTTATCCAGCATCTTACTATGATTGTACTAACAGAATAACTTGAGTTATTTTGATAGCAATTGCATCATCATTAAATAACTTCGTTATTTGATGATTATGCAATTATCACTAAAAGAACTCGAGTTATTCTGTTGGTTTGGTTGTCATAAGATGCTGGATAATACTGTTATTGAATACTATTTAGCCAATAACTCATTTATCTGGCTGTGAATTTAATATGTCATTTCTGGACCTCTTCAGGGCCCAGAAGCTGACATATTAAACTTAATAGCCAGATAATAAATTATTTTACAAATAATTTTCGTTATTGGCTACTTCGCATCCAATAACTATATATTATTACATTTATTTAGCTAGTTTTTAAAGTATAATAACTGTAATGTCAAATACTACTGATATGATTTAGTTAACTGTTTACGTATATATATACCTTAAACAAAAAAATTTATTTAACTTATAGGATAAAGTAAGAATTACTGTTTTTCTTGGTACTAATGCTACAGAAACACATTGGCTTAAACTATAGGTAATTGGTAAATCCTTATGACCACGGTGTTTTAAACATATTAACTTGAATTCTTTTCCTGTTGAATATTGTGCAAATGAAAAGGCATAGATGCATAGTAATATATTTGAAGAATAGCTTCATCAATTAGATTATTATTTTTGAATTAAAGACCAAAAAATTCTTCTACTGCTTGATAATGCTGCCTCTTACTTTGATCCAAATGAAGAATATACTGATCAAGATAAAGCTAGTTCTGCTTCTGAAAATGAATATATTGAATTAAGTAATAGTATTGGCTCATCTTCTATGGTATCTAGCAAAAAACGTATATCAAATAATAAACAAAACAAGCGCAAAAAACAAAATCAGCAGAGTTCATATTTATATTTAACTAATATTAAAATTGCATTTTTACCTCCTAATACAATAGCTTACCTGCAACCAATGGATGCAGGAATTATAAAAAGCTTTAAAAGAAATATAAAGCTCTTTATTATCATCATATTTTAATGCAATATGAGACTGACGAAGATATTAATAAGTAAGAAATTTTTTAATTTTTTAATTTTAAACT